GAACCCGCGTCCCCTGCATCAGCAGGCGGACTCCCAACCACTGCGCCACCAGGGAAGCCCCCAACACATGTTTTAAAAAATATTTTTAGGGACTTCCTGGTGGCGCAGTGGTTAAGAATCCGCCTGCCAGTGCAGGGCACACGGGTTTGATCCCTGGTTCGGGAAGATCCCACATGCTGTGGAGCAACTAAGCCGTGTGCCAGAGCCTGCAAGCCACAATTACTGAGCCCTCATGCCACAACTACTGAAGCCCATGTGCCTAGAGCCCATTCTGTGCAACAAGAGAAGCCACCGTAATGAGAAGACTGCGTACCACGGTGAATAGTAGCCCCCGCTTGCCGCAACTAGAGAAAGCCTGCATGCAGCAACGAAGACCCAGCGCAGCCAAAAATTAATTAATTAGAAAAAGTTTTTTTTAAAGAAGTGAATTAAAAAAAGTTTTTTGCATAGTCAGAATCTTTCTGGTAACCTTTTCCCCTTATAATAAGTGACTTCCAAAAATTTGAATAAAGCAGAAAGAAGACAATAACAGTCACCTGTAAATCTCTCTCACAAGGATAATCATTATCAACATTTTTGGGTGTATATCCTTGTTTTTTTCTAGTGTTGTTTGTTCAGTTCCATCTCTCAGTATCATAAAAGATATTTGTGTTATTAAAATTAGAGATTAATGTATAGATATATACAGTAATAACTTTTTGATAAATGTTATTTTTATTAAGAATAACCCAAATATTGTACTAGAATCAATTGTTCAGGGAATTTGATTGTATGGAAGGTATAAGTTGATAATACAATTCTTGTATTTAGTACTAGCAGTTTTTTTGTTCCTTACTGTTTTATCTAGGAACTTATTTTAGTTCTTTACTAAGAGCAAAATGACTTTATACAAAATAGATGTATACTGTTTTATGAGCTCACACAAAGTAATTATCATTGGATAAAGTTAAAAATTTTAATTTCTCAAATCACCTCTAAAAAAGCATGAGTTAATAATCTCATCCACCTGCAGGTGGCAATGTGTTGTGCTCTCCCAGTACATTCAAACCAGCAAAACATTTCATGTATTTAGATTCAATTTTTTTCCTCTTGATATAATAATTTTAACACTTGTGGGTTTTTCACCTTTAGATTCAGTGTTTTTCCTAGGACATTTCAGGGGAAAGAGAATTTTGGATTTATATTTTGGGATATCTGGAAAGTTTTAGAGGCTTTATGTGTATCAGCTCTGTCATATTTTTCCAGATTAGTAGTTTGCTTCTCCGTTCAGTGGACCACACCAGCATCCCCGAGTGGCTTTTGAACTGCTGCAGGAGCCTTTGTTGTGCTGATGTCTCCCAGTCAGCTCTTTTATTCCTGTGTCAGGGGACACTCACCATGTTGGATTGGCAGGATGGGAGGATGGGCCCCAGTGGGGAGGCCCTGCTCTTGGATACTGTGCGTGTTCTGTTCACCTTGAGTTCACAGTGAGTTTTTTCTCATATTTTGCTTTGCTTGTCAGACATTTAAAAGATGGCAGCTGAGCTGGCTTACTTAGTAATTCAATGAAAAGTGGTCAGGATAGGGCTTCCCTGGTGGTGCAGTGGTTGGGAGTCCGCCTGCCGATGCAGGGGACACAGTCGTGCCCTGGTCCGGGAGGATCCCACGTGCCGCGGAGCGGCTGGGCTCGTGAGCCATGGCCACTGAGCCTGCATGTCCAGAGCCTGTGCTCCGCAACGGGAGAGGCCACAACAGTGAGAGGCCCGCATACCACACACACAAGAACAGGAGAAGATGGGATGATGGGAGAGAGAGAGAGAAATTATTGGTGCAGGTTAACCTGTAGTGAACACTTGTAAAATTAATTTTAACATTCAGTCTTGCAATAGATAATGCAAGCATTTTAAAAAATTATAAGCACTTCTATACATATAATGCTTTAGAGTTTACAAATAACTTCAGCATAGGTAGTTCAGTGTGATCCTCACATGTCTGATAGATAGGATAGGAAATCTAATCTGTTGAATGGGTAAAGTGAAGCTTAGAAAAGTAAATGCTTACCTAATAGCATATTGCTTTTAAGCACCTAAGCCAGAAATGTAATGAGGTCTTCTGACTTCACTGGATTGTGTTTTGTATTTTTTTGATATAAGTTGTGCATATTTTAAAGTAATTTAAAAATTATTCTTCATTGTTTATTTTATAAGTTTATTGAGATATAATTTACATACCATATAATTCACCTATTTAAAGCATGTGGTTCAATTTTTTTTTAGTATGTATATTTACAGGGTTGTGCAGCTATCACCACAGTCAACTTTAGAATATTTTCGTTACCCCAGAAAGAAACCCCATTCCCACTAATATTCCCTAGCCCCTCAGTATATTTTAAAACACCTGTGAAAGATGCATCTCAGTCAAAATAATGAACATTTCCATCACCTGCAAAAGTTTCCCTGTGTCCTTTTATGGATTCGTTTTTACGAAATGGAAAGATTCATATGCAAATTTGAGATCTGTTTTGGCTTTGTAATTTTTTGTTGTAAATTTAATAATGATTCAATTTTCTGATCATTCTTTATATTTTGTATTGATATTTTTAAAGTCTGAGTGATTATAAAATGAAATTCCTTTTACTAGTCAGTATAAAATAATATGACTCATTTTTCTTCAGGATCAAGGAGTCAACTCTGGAAATGTTTCTGTCTAGAATTTTGGCATCTTGGACTAATTCAGCTATACAAGTCCTTGAATCAAGTTCCCCAAGCCTAAAGGACCGTCTGAATGGAAATTCAGACATGGTTAGGAGACTTTTGGAATATGTCTATACCCACTGGGAACATCCATTGGATGCTTTGAGACACCAAACCAAAATCATATTCAGAAATATTCTCCAAATGCACCAGCTTGCCTTGGAAGAGTCAGGTTCAGATTTGGCTGCTGATGGTTTCATTTTTCAACTGACTGAGAGTCTTCTGCGATTGGAATGGCATAGTAAAGGAAAGTACACATGCCTTGGTTGTTTAGTAGATTACATAGGAATTGAACATATTTTGGCATTAGCTAAAACTATCCCATCGCAAATCTTAGAGGTGATGGGGGACCAGTCCTTGGTGCCTTATGCAAGTGACCTCTTGGAAACCATGTTTAAAAGTCATAAGAGTTGTTTGAAATCCCAGGCTGTTGACAGCACTTGGATTGACAAGTGGCATGAGACTTGGGTTTCTCCTCTCCTGTTTATACTGTGTGAAGGAAATCTGGATCAAAAATCTTATGTGATTGATTATTACTTGCCAAAATTATTGAATTGCAATCCTGAAAGCTTAAGCTACATGGTAAAGATTCTTCAGACTTCTGCTGATGCTAAAACTGGTAAGAAAATGAATTTTTTGTTTTAGTAATTTCTAGTTAGGATGCTTAAGTTTAGGTACCTAGGCAGATGTTGCCCATATGCAAATTTAAATATTATCATTTCTGTTAATAGTAAAGGAGGATATTAAATATAGAAATTTTGGGTTGAAACGAATGTTCCTGTACCTAGCTGAATAGAGTTTTTTGGCTGAAGTCATTTCTACAGGCTGAGGATTGATCCCAGTTATGATTATGAGGTTTCTTTTATTACTAGGTTTTAATTCATTTTACCAAGTTTTTATTAGTTGATTGTCAGACTGGAGTAAACGTTTGTGTGTTTTATATAATTTGCTTATTCAAGTGATTGAAATAGTAATTAAAAATTGTTTTAGGCAAGGTTAAAGACAGGTAAATTGGCAGTAGCAAATATTTGTCTCTGGGAAAGAGATAAAAAATTTAGAAGCGTGACCTCAGGAAACAGCTCTCTGGTCATTTAGAATAAGCATGAACATCCCACTGAAACTCAGTAACCTTGAAAGAATCACTGCATTGAAGCATAATTTAGTAATTAATATATAAAACGATGATCCTGACTCCTCATGTAAATCTTAAAATTATCATATTCTGTTTAACAAAGCAGGAATATGGTACCCTACACCACATTTTAAGAGTATTTCTAACTAAAATTTAAGTTAAAATCTTTCAGTCCTTCAAAGAATAACCATGAGATAGCTGGAAAATTTGATTCCTGTACACAAAAATGAGCCTTATTTATAATTTTTAACAATAATCGTCCTTGCATTTTTGAGAAGCCGTCTAAAGCTGAGGATCCGTGAATCTCTTCTGAAGCTAGGCAGTCTTTATTTTAAATCAAGGTGTCCTGTGAGCCAGAGCTCCCTGTCCCCTTAGTAACGGCTGATGTCCTGGCCTCTGAAAGCATCAGGTTCTTTGTGATCCCCCTTTTATCTCCTTTGCTAAGAAGAAACAGTAACTCCAAAATATACAGAGAGGTTCGGTGTTTGTTTTTAGAGAAATAATGGTCTTTAGCCACTGAAGTGTTTTTCCTATTTTCGGCTGAAAGTTATTTTAGTTATTTTTATTGTTTTAAATATTTCTTCACTTGATTTTTTTCCTGATTGACTTGATGGTCTATTTTCTAACTGTCAAGGGAAAGGTAAAAATATCAGCCAAAAATTATGATTTTTTTAAGTTAACAATAAGTGGATTATGCTTACTGAAATTATTGATTTAAGAACTATTAAATCCTTTTAAATAATGATTTTATAATAGAAACACTAATTCATGTTAGAATTTAGCTTAAAATATGATTTTTGTTTCTTGAAATGTTAACTGGAAACATGTGAATTTTGTAGTTTTTAAATAGCACGGTGGTGGTCTTTGTTACTGTGTTTTGAGCCAAGAGTAATCTTTTCCATCCTTAGGGTCTTATGACAGCAGAGGGGCTCTGGGAGCTTTGATGGCTTGTCTACGAACAGCTAGAGCTCATGGACATCTTCAGTCTGCAACTGATGCCTGGAGGGACCTTGTGTCCAGTGCAAGAATAAAGCAAGGCTTAATTCATCAGCACTGCCAAGTAAGTAAACAAAATAACTGGGAATTCATACATGCGGTAGATCCCTGATTCATTTATTAATTTAACAGTGTGATATAGAAGCCCCTACATTATGCCTAGCACTGTTTTAAGGGCTCCATAAGAAGGATGAATAGAAAGGGAAGAGTGTAGACATTGCACTCAGGCTGCTTAAAGTTTAGTTGAGAGAATAAGGAAACCTGCATAAGACAACTGGAAACTCTTAGAAGACAATGCAGATACAAGTGTACCTTTATGCATAAAGACTGGGGAAGCTTAGAAGAAGAGATTGATCTGAGTATAGATGGTGGTTGAGTAGGAAAGTGATAAATGTGATCTGAGGAGGGGAAGCACTGGCGCCTACTAAAAATGGAAGGACACAGTAAACAAGGGCTGAAAGGTGACTAAAGACATCGTTTGGCAGGAGTGGAGTATTTTGTCCATTTTATGGAAGCCTCCAGTGCTTGGTTGAAGACTTCAGATTTTATCCAATTGGTAACTGGGAAGCAGAGCCACTCTTCCTTCAGCCAGGAAGTGGCATGAATGGAAACAGAGATGAGTTTCCAGAGTGGGAGCAAAAAGAAACCAGTGCGATGTTCAAGACAGTAACTGGAGAGTGAGATGATGTGGTCCTGGGGCAGAGTGGTCACTGAGAAAAAAGAATGAAGTTGAGCATTACTGTGGAATAAGAATCTCTAAGATTTTTGACTTTAATAAAATACCCAATTTATACATTTAATAAAATAATTTTATAGGAAATAACCACAGGAACTTTGGGATTATGGAACCTTTCTGAAGTACACATGGGTAAACTGAGGTTTACCTTCTCTCCACCCTTCCCACCTTTGGTAGCCTGTGTAAATAATTAAACTCGTCAAGTGGTTTAGGCTTTGCTTATTTCATTGAAAAATTAATATTTTATTGCTTGGTGTATTTTAGGTACGGATCGATACATTAGGCTTGCTTTGTGAATGTAATCGAAGCACAGAAATTGTTTCCACAGAAGAAATGGAGTGCATTCAGTTCTTTATCACATACAATCTTAACAGTCAGTCTCCAGGAGTGCGGCAACAGATTTGTTCTCTTCTTAAAAAGGTAGAATTTCTCTTCAGAAAGTGTAGGAAAGTGGTGAACTTTGCTCTGGAATTATTTTTAAAAAGAGCCCAGATCCGAGGAGAGTGTGGGAATAAGGGTCATGGGATTGGACTACCATAGCTCTTCATGGACCTTCTGTGAATGCTTTGTTCTGTGATTCCATAAAGTTTATTTTTAGGGTTAAAATCCAGAGTGAAAAGTCCTTTCACTTTGGTGTAATAAGTCAGCCTTGAACTCTTTTTTTGAAAGGAAAAAAAAAATCTAGCACTGGAGTTTTCAGGGTATAAGGTATTTTAAGAAAACTTTAGTAAGAGGAGGAAGGATGTCTTTGTATTTTTATCGTTCCTGTAAGTGCCTCAAGAAATAGTCATTATTGAATAATTCAGCTTGAATTAATCACCTGATACACTTCTGGGGTGAAGAGTTGGTAGAGAGTAGAAGTGAGTATATCATCTTTAGGTTCATGCCGACCTAAGGGAAATAGAACTGTGGCTTTATGACTGTGGATTCTGATTTGCAGTAATATTTGGTTTTTGGTTTTTAAAATGTAAAGGTTAATTTTCTGTCAAAAAGAAACAATGTTTAAATACTGAGTTTAAAAACCAGTATTCCCCTTGCCTGACGTTTTAGTCTAAAGAATTTAGAAAGTTCTTCCTTTGCCTTTCAAGCTGATGTTTAAGGTTAATGTGGCTCACGTATGCTTCATTTTTCTTCTTCTCAAAGTTGTTTTGTAGGATACAGGAAAGTTCTCAGGTACTTTATAAACTGGAACAGAGTAAATCCAAACATGAACCAGAGAATGAGTTAACCAGACAGCACCCTTCTGTATCTTTACGGCAATATAAGGTGGGTGATAGATTTCTAGATATACAGATTTTTAAGAAACCTAAAACAGTTTTGAATAAACATTAAAGAGAAGTAAATACTCTTGGTGAATAGTATTTCTGTGCTTTTTTCCTTCAAGCTGGGTTTTGCATATTCCTTCTAGTGCTTTGGAACTTCTCTTAGGGTAGCCTGAGTTGCGGAACCAGTGCTGGACTTGAAGTCTGTTATAGAATAACATTCTGGGAAAACTGGACAGCTACATGTAAAAGAATGAAATTAGAACACTCCCTGACACCATACACAAAAATAAACTCAAAATGGATTAAAGACCTAAATGTAAGGCCAGACACTATAAAACTCTTAGAGGAAAACATAGGCAGAACACTCTATGACATAAATCATAGCAAGATCCTTTTTGACCCACTTCCTAGAGAAATGGAAATAAAAATAAACAAATGGGACCTAATGAAACTTAAAAGGTTTTGCACAGCAAAGAAAACCATAAACAAGACGAAAAGACAACCCTCAGAATGGGAGAAAATATTTGCAAATGAAGCAACTGACAAAGGATTAATCTCCACAATTTACAAGCAGCTCATGCAGCTCAATATCAAAAGAACAAACAACCCAATCCAAAAATGGGCAGACAACCTAAACAGACATTTCTCCAAAGAAGATATACAGATTGCCAACAAACACATGAAAGGATGCTCAACATCACTAATCATTAGAGAAATGTAAATCAAAAGTACAATGAGGTATCACCTCACACCAGTCAGAATGGCCATCATCAAAAAATCTACAAACAATAAATGCTGGAGAAGGTGTGGAGAAAAGAGAACCCTTTTGCACTGTTGGTGGAAATGTAAATTGATACAGCCACTATGGAGAACAGTATGGAGGTTCCTTTAACAAACTAAAAATAGAGCTACCATATGACCCAGCAATCCCACTACTGGGCATATACCCTGAGAAAACCCTAATTCAAAAAGAGTCATGTACCAAAATGTTCATTGCAGCTGTATTTACAATAGCCAGGACATGGAAGCAACCTAAGTGTCCATCAACAGATGAATGGGGGAAGAAGATGTGGCACATGTATACAATGGAATATTACTCAGCCATAAAAAGAAACAAAATTGAGTTATTTGTAGTGAGGTGGATGGACCTAGAGACTGTCATACAGAGTGAAGTAAGTCAGAAAGAGAAAGACAAATACCGTATGCTATCACACAGATATGGAATCTAAAAAAATTAAAAATTGTTCTGAAGAACCTAGGGACTGGACAGGAATAAAGACTCGGACGTAGAGAATGGACTTGAGGACACAGGGAGGGGGAAGGGTAAGCTGGGATGAAGTGAGAAAGTAGCATTGACATATATACACTCCCAAATGTAAAATAGATTGCTAGTGGGAAGCAGCCGCATAGCCTAGGGAGATCAGCTCGGTGCTTTGTGACCACCTAGAGGGGTGGGATAGGGAGGGTGGGAGGGAGACGCAAGAGCAAGGAGATATGGGGATATATGTATATGTATAGCTGATTCACTTTGTTATACAGCAGAAACTAACACACTATTATAAAGCAATTATACTCCAATAAAGATGTTAAAAAAAATAGAATAACATTAATGAGCTAACCTCGATGTTTTACAGCTTCTGTGAGCCAGATGAATTTAGTACTTTTAAAAAAGGTAATTGGAAGCCCTGATTCCTCCACCCCTCCCCGGGGTAGATGACTGCTGCATCTGAGCGTGTTTCCCCTTTCGTCTAACGTGATTTAACAGTGGCTTGATGTTTGTGACTTCTGGCCCATGGTCCTCTTAAGAGCTTCCTCTCTATCCTGTTTTGGAGTGAACTTGAAGAGTAGGACTGGATTTCAGTGCACCAGGTTAATGTCATGGATGGATCCCCAGATATAGCAGCTCCAGTCTGGGCCAGGGCTCAGCTTGACAACCTTCAATTTCTGTCCCATCAGAACAGAATGAGCTTTTCACTGGTTTCTTACTCCAAATCTTTCCTCTCAGAAGCAGATACTTATTTTCTCCTAAGACCCAGATAGAGGACAGAGCTCATCTATTTTATCTCATTTAGGGAAACAAGTATAATAAATGGTATATTGGAACCATGCTATACTTACTACCTACTAAAGGTTAAAAATCATCTAAAGAAGAACATTCCTATACAGAGGCTGAAATCAGCTTCATCTTTGTAAAATCTCAACAACGAAAGATGAGAAAGTCACAACCTAAACTTGAAGGACATGATTAGTAACAAATCTGCCACTGACTACTTGGCTTATTTTCATGAGTCTACTTAGCTATAAGTGGGATGAGTAACCTCTCTGAAAACGTTGGTTTTGAGGATTAAACAAGAATGTTCTTTGCAAACTCTAAATCACTCTAAAAAGCCTTCCTGGGCATCATTAAAAGTAACTAGAGTATAGAGCATTTACTGTGTGTGTGTAACAGTTATATTTTAGCCCTTTTTAGATCATTGCTAGATGATCTCAGAAACACCTTGCTTCTTTTTGCAGGGGATAAAATGACATTTGTGAAATCTCAATTAGGTACTTAGAAACACAAAACTGATTTTGTGGTTTGACATTCTGAATTTTCATGTATGCGTGGTTTCTTCGTTTTGCTTATGAATATATATTTTTTGAAAACTAGTCCTTTAGAGTCTTGATCTGAGTCAGTCTCATAGTTCTGATATTTTTCTCCCACCTGTTGGCTCTTGTGGCTTTTGGAGGTTGCAACTTCAGAACTGTTGTATCATCGTCATCAGAATAGTGGGTGTCGTGTGTGGTGTGTGGTGGACTCAGTGCCAGTCAGCAGACTAAGTGCTGGGAGAAGAGAAGGCTGTGAGTGGGAAAAGGTGTCTTCTAGTCTAGTGAAGGAGGTTATTTCATACTCTAGTATGACAGAGTACTTAAAAATATGTTAGCTAGAGTACTTTCAAGTATAAAATGCTTTATATCCGTGTTCTCCTTTAATCTTTAATAATGAAACTGTGAGATAGGCATTATTATCCTCACTTAACCAGTGATATAAGTGAAGCTTGGAAAAGTTGAATGAGCAAACTATCCAAGGGTCCTCAGCCAGGAAGTGGTAGAGCCTGACTACAATCCATATCTGCTCTGGACAACCAAATCGGAATAGTTTCTTCCCTAGTACCAGCTTGAGGGAAGACTTGGAGGTAAGAGAGTACAGGGAAAATTTGGATAGTGGTGAATTCACTAGTATGAATGACATATAAGATACTTGAGGGATAGAGGATTTTTTTTTTGGCCATGCCCCACAGTATGTGGGATCTTAGTTCCTCAACCAGGGATCAAACCCATGCCCCTTGCATTGGAAGCACAGAGTACTTTTTTTTTTTTAACTATTTGTTTTTTTAAAAAATATTTATTTATTTATTTGGCTGTGCCGGGTCTTAGTTGTGGCATGCAGGATCTTTCATTGCAGTGTGCAGGCTCTTTCTTGCGGCGTGCAGGCTTCTCTCTCATTGTGGTATGTGGGCTCTAGAGTACACGATCTCTCTAGTTGTGGCACGTGGGCTCTAGAGCACTCGGGCTCAGTTGTTGCAGCATGCGAGTTCCACGGCATGTGGGATCTTAGTTCCCCAGTGAGGGGTCAAACTCGTGTCCCCTGCATTGGAAGACAGATTCTTAACCACTGTACCACCAGGGAAGTCCCCGGACAGAGGAATAACGGGAAATGAGTTAGAAAATCAATTTGGGGATGGGTAGCAGAGAGTTTTGAATGCTAGGCCATGGTATCTGGAATCCTCGCCAAGGGACATTAAAAGGGACTAGAGCATATATTGAGCCCTTACTATGTGTGTAGTACAGTGTGTTCAGGACATAAATGTCTAAATTGTGGTTCCTGCCTCCATTGTGCTTACAGTCTGGTTGAGGGAAAGAACAACTATATCTGAAAATACAATTGACAGTGCAGTTAGGATAAGATAAATCCTAAAGGATGAACTTGTTGCCATTTAATGTGAATACTATACTACTCATTTATAATTAACACTAGTTTAATTAGGATATTTTCAATAACTACCCTATTCCTTTGAAACCCAATAGAATTAATAAACTAGTAAACTCTTATTTAGGGCTTGTAAGGGTCTACAGGATAAATCACCAAGATTGTATGTCCTTAACCAAGGAAATGAATGCAGGAATGCTATCTAAAGATGGTTGGGACTAGGGCTGCTTATATGCTGCTTAGTTACAAATATATGTTGTCAGGGCATAGCAGTGTATGAGAGGCTTGAGAATCACAGCTTTTCCTTATATGTTCTTCCTTTGGTCTTATGGAGAAATTATTATTATTATTTTTACTTAGAGGAAGAAGACTTTATCCTGGATAAACTATTTCCCACATTGCTTTTTTTATTGCATTTTACTAAAAGTTTTCATTTCTAATCATTTGTATAAACAGAAAGGTAGAATAGGAGTCTCAGAGAGGCAGATAGAAGACAGTGGAATAGCTAGATCTTTGTCATGAAATATGTCATTATAGCCAGATATCAAGTATTTATCAAATGTGTCAAGTGGTATATATTGGATATGTCTTTGGTCATTTTAAAACTTTAAAAAAAAGTATATATACCTTTGATGCCTGAATGCTTCTTTCTGGTGAAGAAAATCAATATTCATACAACTTTAACACAAGTCAGGGCAGAATGGATCATGTTTTCACCAGAAAAATGTTTTTTTCTGGTCTGGACTACATTTAGAATTGTACTCTTTGTTGTTGTTGTTTTTAACTTAAATCAGGTATAATTGACATAATAGTTTCAGGTGTACAACACAGTGGTTAGACATTTGTGTATATTGGGACATGATTACCACATTAAGTCTAGTTAACATTTGTCACCATACAAAGTTAGAAAAAGTTTTTTTTTCTTAGCAACTTTCAAATATACAATGTAGTAGTATTAACTATAGTCACTCTACTATACATTACAGCCCATGGCCTATTTATTTTATTTTATATCTGGAAGTTTGTATCTTTTGACTCTGTTTACCCATTTTTCCAAATCCTCCCCCACCCGACCCCTGGCAACCACCAGTCTGTTCTCTGTATTTATGAGGTTGGTTTTTGTTTTTTTTTAATTTTTAAATTCTATATAAAAGAGAGATCATTAAGTGTTTGTCTTTTTCTGTCTGATTTATTTATCTGTTTATCCATCCTTGGACACTTATGTTGTTTCTGTATCTTGACTGTTGTAAATAATGCTGCAGTGAACATGGGGGCACACATATCTCTTTAAATTAGTGTTTTCGTTTTCTTCCGTACTTCTTGTTGACTCTACAAAGATAAGGTTCACTGAAGTCATGAGCTCATGGTCAAGGGTGCCAATCTGAATTGTCAAGTAAAGTGAACAACTAATATTGTTTTAAAAAAATCTTTTCTCTCTAAATTAGAAAAAAATTCACTCTTCAGAGTAATAGTAGTGATATTTTCAAGATAACCTATTGTGAGTTAGCTCAATTATATTTACTGTAATTTTTCTTTTTTAGAATTTCATGTCATCCATTTGCAAAAGTCTTTTTGAAGCATTATTTCCTGGCTCTTCCTACCCAACTAGATTTTCAGCTTTAACCATTTTAGGCTCAATAGCTGAAGTTTTTCCTGTGCCAGAAGGTAAGTTTTCAGTCATGTTTGGGGAAAGTATTTGTTTTCTTGCAAAACATACTTTTTCAATATTTTGTTTTACTTGAAGTTTCAGGTTTGTTGTCTCATTATATAATGTAAGTCTCATTATATAATTCTTATTTGGACATAATTCAATTTGCCAGTAAGGGGCAGAGAAGGGAGAGAAACTTTTCAGTGATTGTTATTTGCTGACCCGAAACTGGAGTTTTCATGGATTATGCTTATTATGAGATGAGTTGCTGCCCTCATTCCCCTAATTTGTATGTTGCTATTTTAGGATAGTGCCCAATCTGTTCTCTAAGTTTAAAAAATTAAAATAGTAATAGTTTCTCTTATGTATAACATTCCTCAGTGAGTCTCTGTGGTTAAAATGTGGTTTCCCTTATATGCTGTTTCATAAGTCTGAATCTGGTTTTGGAAAGACAATATAAGGATGTCATTTCCAGGCATTCTGGTTTAATCATACCCTTTGTATCTCCTCTGTGGGGTACTCAACAGGATGAATATTTAACTTCTTTCTTTGTGTTGTTTTATTTTCCTTTTTTTTTTAAGTTTTTAAAAAATTTTATTTATTTATTTATTTTTGGCTGTGTTGGGTCTTCATTAATGCACACAGGCTTTCCCTAGTTGCCGCGAGCGGGGGCTACTCTTCACTGCACTGCATGGGCCCCTCATTGCAGTGGCCTCTCCCGCCTCAGAGCACAGGCTCCAGATGCACGGGCTTCAGCAATTGTGGCTCGCGGGCTCTAGAGCGCAGACTCAGTAGTTGTGGCGCACAGGGCTCACCTGCTCCACAGCATGTGGGATCTTCCCGGACCAGGGCTCGAACCCATGTCCCCTGCATTGGCAGGCGGATTCCCAACCACTGCGCCACCAGGGAAGCCCTTATTTTCCTTTTTGACAAGAAATGATTCTTTTTATCTCCATACATGAATGTATGTGTATTTTAATGATGATTTCTTGTTTGTGCTCAGTCTTGCTTGACGGTGGACAAACAGGAAAATGTACTGCTCTTTTGGAGGGAATGGCCAAAGGACCAGGAAACTTTACACTATAGTTGGACTTTTCTTTTTAGTTTAAATTTTTAGGCAAAGTATAATTTTTTGGCAGTTATTTGCTGTTAATACAGACTTGCTTCATTTGAAGAAAACCAGTTTTTTCAAGTTTTTGTTTTGAAAAAGTTGACACTAACAGCAAAGTTTCAAGAATAGTTCAGTGAATAAACAAAGTTTCAAGAATAGTTCAGCCATGAACCCTCTACTTAGACTCATAAGTTATTTTGTGATATTTGCTTTACCTCACTGTTTCTCTCTCATTAATTTTCTTCTTTAAAAAATTTATTTATTTTATTTTTGGCTGCATTGGGTCTTCATTGCTGTGTGCAGGCTTTTCTCTAGTTGCGGAGAGAGGGGGCTACTCTTCGTTGTGGTGCGTGGGCTTCTCATTGCGGTGGCTTCTCGTTGTGGAGCATGGGCTCTAGGTGCATGGGCTTCAGTAGTTGTGGCACTCGGGTTCAGTAGTTGTGGCTCGCGGGCTTTAGAGTGCAGGCTCAGTAGTTGTGGTGCACGGGCTTAGTTGCTCCGCGGCAAGTGGGATCTTCCTGCACCAGGGCTCGAACCCATGTCCCCTGCATTGTCAGGCGGATTCTTAGCCACTGTGCCACCAGGGAAGCCCTCTCATTAATTTTCTAACCATAACACAATGATCAAATTCAGGAATTAATGTTGATACAATGCTATTATCTAATATACAATCCATATTCAAATTGTACCAGTTGTCCTAATAAGTGGCTTTTTGTAGAAAAAAAATTTTTCCCCACAATCCAGGAACCAGTCTAAGGTCACGCATTGCATTTAATTGTTATGCATCTTGAACCTCTTTCAATTTGGAAATTTTCTAATTTCATGACATTAACATTTTGGAAGAATGTATCTCAGTTTGGGTTTGTCTGATTGTTTTCTTATGACTTGATTCATGTTATGCATTTTTGTCAGGAATACTGCATAGGTGATGTAGTTTCTTTCTCAGGGCATGATAACAGGAGATACATGATGTTAGTTTGTCCCATTATTCTTGATAAATTGGATCACCTGATTAAGTAAGTGTAGTAGGACAAAAAATGACCTCCAAAAGAAACCCGTACCAAATCCTTAGAGCTTGTGAATGTGAACCTTACTTATTTAAACCTTACTTATTGGGCTTCCCTGGTGGCGCAGTGGTTGAGAGTCCGCCTGCCGATGCAGGGGACACAGGTTCGTGCCCCGGTCCGGGAAGATCCCACATGCTGCGGAGTGGCTGGGCCTGTGAGCCATGGCCGCTGAGCCTGCGCGTCTGGAGCCTGTGCTTTGCAATGGAAGAGGCCACAACAATGAGAGGCCCGCATACCACAAAACAAAACAAAAAATACCTTACTTATTTAGGGTTTTTTTTAGATATGATTAAGTTAAAGATCTTAAAATGAGATAATCTTGGATTATCTGGATGGGCCTTAATGCCATTGCAAGTGGCATTGTAAGAGGGAGGCAGAGGGAAATGTGACAAAAAGAAAAGGAGGAGTCATTGTGACAGTGGTGATAGAGATTGGCATGCTGTGGCTATAAGCCAGGGAATGCTGGCAGCCGCCAGAAGCTGAAAGAGACGAGGAATGAATTCTCAGAGACTTGAGAGAGAGCATGGCCCTACAGACACCTTGATTTCAGACTTCTCGCTTCCAGAACTGTGAGAAAATAGATTTCTGTGGTTTTAAGCCACCAAGGTCATGGTAATTTGTTACAGCATCCACAGAAAATGAATACAGGAGTACCCATCAGTTTAGCGAATTTCAGTGGTACTACAACTGAATTTAGAAAATAAGGTTTTACCTGAGAGTGATTGATTATCCATTTAACAAAAAGTTTTCTGTGCATTCCTATATTTATAGTTAACATCTAGGTGTATGGGAAATATCTAGGCTGAATTACACTGGTAATTTTTCATTGGGAGAATAGTTTAATATATTTAAATATACTTTAAAAGTGAAAAGCCTGTGTCATCTTTCTAATGAATGAGTCATGTATAATTGGGCAGTGACTGATGGCACAGTAATGATGTTAATTAAACAACTGGGAAGTAATGTAAATAGAGCAAACCATACTGTACCCATTAACTGTAAAGGAGGCTAAAGAAGCATGACTGAAAAATACAGGATAGGAAATGTAAACTCATTCTTCATCTTTATCTCAAGAATACTAATGTAGGTTTTTATATTATTTTATAGAAAGACTGATTTGGGATTAGTTAAAATGGCTTTTGCCTTTCCTCAAGTATGTCCTAGTTCAAGAAGAATAAGCCACATATATCTTTCTCATTTGGAATAAAATGTCACAGTATTCATGGTGAAAAATTGGATTCCACAATTAGATTAAAAGGGTTTGTTCAACAAATAATTTATTTAGTGCCAAGGATACACAGTATACAAAACAGAGTGCTTCCCATTTTAGAGCTTAGACTTTAGTGAAGATAGACAGACTAAGTAAGTCAACAAGTGATACGTAGAATTTCAGATGGAGATAAGTAGTATGAAAATATATTTCAAGAAGAAAAGTGCAGGGAAGTATAGAGAGCCTGGGAGTTTGGGAGTAATAGCTCTTTCATACAATCGTGTCAGAGAAGGCTTCCAATTTGAGCAGAGCTCTTAACTAACCAATGGGTCAAAGGGGAAATTAGAAAATACTTTGAGAGGAAAGAAAACAAAAACACAACTTACCAAAACTTACAGGATGAAGCAAAAACACTGCTAATAGAGAGATTTATATAACTGTAAATGCCTACATTATGTAAGAAAAAAAGATCTCAAATCAGTAACCTAACTTTACACCTCATGGAATTAGAAAAAGAAGAGCACACTTACCCCACAGTTACAGAAAGAAGGAAGTAATAAAGATTAGAATGGAGAGAATGGAGATAAATGAAATAGAGAATAGAAAAACAATACAGAGAATCAGCAAAACCAGAAGTTTTTTTTTTAAGATAAACAAAATTGACAAAGTTTTAGCTATACTAAGAATTAAAAAAAGATGTAAATCACTAAAATCAGAAATAAAACTAGAGACATTTCTACTGACCTTACAGAAATAAAAAAGATTATAAGACAGTACTGTGAACAATTATATTGTATATCTAATAAATTAGGTAACCTACATGAAATGGACAAATTCCTAGTAATATACAAATTGCTGACTCAAGAAGTAGAATTTTTGTTGTTGTTGTTGTTGGCGGGCCTCTCCCGTTGTGAAGCACAGGCTCCGGATGCACAGGCTCAGCAGCCATGGCTCACAGGCCCAGCTGCTCCGCGGCATGTGGGATCTTCCCAGGCCGGGGCATGAACCCACGTCCCCTGCATCGGCAGGCGGGCTCTCAACCACTGCGCCACCAGGGAAGCCCAAGAAGTAGAAAATTTGAACAGACCTATAACAGATAAAGAGATGGAGTAAAAAGCCTCTCAAAAGAAAAGCTCTCAGCAAAGAAAAGTCCAAGGGGAGTGGCTTCATTGGTATATTCTACCAAACATTTAAAGAAGAATTAATGCCATTCCTTCTCAAACTTCAAAAAAATTGGAGAGGAAGGAACATTTCCTAACTCATTCTATGAAGCCAGTATCACTCTGATACCACAAGAAAACTACAGCTGTATCTTATATAAATATAGGTGCAGAAATTCTAAAGAAAATGCTAGAAAACCAAATCCAACAGCATATTAAAAGTATATACCATGACTAAGTAAGTGGAATTTATCCCAGGAACACAAGGGTGTTTCAGCATAAGAAAATATAGTAAATGTAATGCACTACATTAGAACAAAAGAAAAAAAAACATGATAATCTCAGTGGAGAAAAAGTATTGACAAAATTCCACACCCTTTTAGACAAATAAACTCTTAGCAAACTAGGAATAGAAGAGAACTTCCTCATTATGATAAAGGACATTCATGAAAAGCCCATAGACAACACC